CCTGTTGTGTCTCTATTGTGTAGGATGTCTCCGAGTGGGAAATTTGTCACCACGGTAATCTTGTGGCTTTCAAAATAGTGGCGAAGCTTGCGTGAAGTGATCAGGAGGGCGTAGAGTAGTTTTTGCACAAGCGAGTACCGGATTTTTGATTCTGATAGTACTTCGCTGATGTAGTATACGGGGCGTTGTACTTTATATACGTGCCCTTCTTCTTCTCTTTCTACGACTATCGCTGTGCTGATCACAGTAGAAGTTGCCGCAATGTACAACATCATGTCTTCATATTTCTTTAGAGGTGTGAGAACGGGCGAGAAGGTGAGGTATGCCTTAAGTTTTTTGAAAGCTTCATTGACTTCTTCTGTCCACTCGAACTTGTCTGTCTTCTTTAGTAGTTTAAAGAAAGGTAACCCTTTTTTGCCGAGTCTTGATATGAAACGATTGAAGGCCGCCATGCAGCCTGTTAGTTTCTGCACATCTTTGACACTTCGAGGAGGGCTCATCTCTGTTATGGCTCGAATTTTCTTAGCACTGGCTTCGATTCCACGATGACTGACCAAGAATCCGAGTAGTTGTCATGAAGGAACTCCGAATACACACTTGTTTGGGTTCAATTTCCACCTCCACCTTTTTAGGTTTTCGAAGGTCTGCTTTAAGTCTTCAATTAGTGTGTCCGGGTTCTTTATTTTTACTACTACGTCATTCATGTATGCCTCTACGTTTTGGCCGATCTGATCACCAAGGCACGTTTGGATAGCTCTTTGGTAAGTGGCACCGGCATTCTTGAGTTCAAACGACATGGTCTTGTAGTAGTAGGCACCGAACGGAGTGATGAAAGATGTCTTGCTCTGGTCTTGTTCCTTTAATGCGATCTGGTGATATCCTAAATATCAATCAAGAAAGGATAATAGGGCAGATCCTACTGTTGAATCAACTATCTGATCAATGCGTAGTAGCCCAAATGGATCTTTCGGGCAGTGGTTGTTGAGATCTGTGTAGTCGACACAAGTGCGCCACTCGTCCGTATTCCTTTTTTTACTAGAACTGAGTTTGCTAGCCAATCTGGATGAAGGATTTCTCTGATGAATCCAGCTGCCATTAGCTTCGTGATTTCTTTTTTAATTGTTGCCTTCTTGTCGGGTGAGAATCGTCATAGCTGTTGCTTCATAGGCTTGGAGCCTTCGTTGATATTGATTCCGTGCTCAGCCAACTCTCTTGAGACACCTGGCATGTCGGCCGGCTTCCAAGCGAAGATATCTTTGTTGTCCCGAAGAAAGTTAGTGAGCATGAGTTCCTATTTTGCTGAGAGGTGGGCGCTGATGGTTGCCGTTTTGGAGGGATCACCGGTGCCTAGGTCAATTTGCTTGACGTCGGCTTCTTTTGGTGTTGCGAGGATGCTGGGCTTTTTAGCCGGTATCTCTAGTTCTTCTGGGCTCATTTCTGTGACAATAGTGGCTATGTCTTTTCTAGCATTGGCGGCTTGTGCTTTGGCTGCAATTTGGATTGCCTGAACGTCGTAGTCAAAAGCGCACTTCAAATCACCTCGAAGGGAAAGGACACCGTTAGGCCCTGGCATCTTAAGCAATAGGTACGGGTAATGCGGTATCGCCATGAATTTTGCTAGTGCTGGGTGCCCGAGGATTGCGTGATATGATGAATCGAAGTCTACAACTTTAAACTTGATGAACTATGTACGGTAGTTTGAGGGAGTTCCAAAAGTAACCGGTAGAGTGATTTGTCCAAGCGGCATGGCTGCCTTGCCGGGTACTATCCCATAAAAATGGATGCTCGTTGGTGTAATCATCCCGGCGAGTTGTAGTCCCATTTTCCTTAGCGTTTCTACAAAAATGATGTTGAGTCCGGCTCCCCCATCGATTAGTACTTTTGTGACATGTTTGACCACCGATAGCCTGCCATGGGGGTACCCGGGGCAGTTTGTTCAGGCTTCAGCGTATGCAGAACTCGACAGTGAACGCAAGAGATAGTCGATTTATCCTGGTTCGGGCCCTCGACCGTGATCGAGTAATAGTCCTACGTCCAGTCAGCGTTAGCCTTTGCATTGGATTGATTGTCCTCTGTCCTCTGTTCTTCCGAACTCTCCTTCTCGAGGAACCCCGCCCTCCTTTATATAGTCAGAAGGCTAGAGTCCTAGTCGGTTTACAATGAGAGTTCCTAGTAGAATTATAGAATAATGCTACTACTAAGATTACAGGAAAAGAATTCTAGTTAGACTAGATCTTCTCCCTTCCTTGTGGGGTATCCCGTTGGTCCCGTATCGACAGATGGGCCTATTAACTCTCTTTTTTGTGCTCAATGACCCTGTTTTTGGATGATTCATTTACTAGAATATGTTCTCAATATTTTTAAAACCACACGGGTCCTTCTCATGCAAGCATTGGTGTTAATATTGCACCACCAGTTCTGGAGCAGCGATTGTAGGTCCTTGTCCCCGGACGCCACCTCTATTGACTCGCTTCTTTGCGGGGACTGCTCGTAAGTGAGAGAGTCTGACGGTAGTTTGTACAAATTTTATTTTGTTTTGTATTTTACCATAGCGTTAGCATGGGCGTTGAAACCCAGTATTGATTTCCAGTACATGCTAAATGCAGAAGGATCCTCTCCTACTGAGATACAAGGTGTTTGATACTAAGTGTTCACTTTGGATTTATTTTTTGTCCTATTGTTCAATAATCCTCATGGTAAAATAATCTTGAAGAAAGACACTCCCTGGTAATTATCTGGAAGCACAAAATGGTATGTTTCTGACCTCTGTACCTCATCATGCATTATGGTGATCAATGTAACAAATGAAACAAATCTTCCTATTAAAAAATCATAGGACACCTAGGTACATCAAGATTGATCTCCAGCAGGATAGGTTTGATCCAAAGTCCAACTGAATTAATAAGCAATTACAGAATCAAGTTCGATGAAAACTTTTTTATTCAACCTTAGAAATAAGATACCTTCCTGTTTTACTCTTTCAGTTGTTCGTTTTTATGTGAATTTTAAATATATTTCATCTATGCTTTATTACTAATACATTTTGTGACACGTTGGCTTAAAATCTGCTTCTTTGGGACTGTATATGTCGTCGTTTGGTTGTTTGATTTGCACTATTAAATGTTACCGTAGCGTTAGCACAGGCAGTATACTTAGACTATAGTCAATGGATGTTCTGCATACTCCGTATTTTTAATCGTGGTGTTACTTTTTATCTGCTTGAATCTGATAATATGCCAAATATGAAATGATTTACTACCAATCTGGAATTATATCTTGAGATAATATACTACTTTTTCATCCTCGGCGTGATGTTGGTTTTTGGTCCAGCTCCTTGTCATCATTAGTCTGACCATTGTCAAAATTCTGGTAAATTTTCTTTTTGTTCATCTACTGTAGCCTAAAACCGATTCCTTTTCAACAGGCAAAGTTGGATGCTTTCAAAATTGCATATGAAAGCCTTAAGGATAAGGGTTAAGGTGCTTTACTGCTTTATTGATCATGTAAGCACATGCCGGGTGATTTTAGCACATGCCGGAAGTGGAGGCAATCAGAACTATTTTATTTACAAAGTAGTGGTATGTAAATTTATTATAATATTCATCAATGTTAGACATGATCCTTTTGTATCGGTCATTGATTGATGCTTACAAAATTTACAGGATGATCAATTTTCTTTTGATGTATTTTGGATGGTTTGGTGAAAGAACAATATTTATTCTTCAAATTAGAGATAAAATTATCTTTCGCTCAATGATTTGCTATTACGGTATAATTGTAAACTCATATGTTTTACTATGACAAAAATATTTGATCAATATATAAGATGTGAATCGTAATGAATTTTGTTTTGTGTTTTACCATAGCGTTAGCACGGGCATTATACTGGTATTATTGAAATAAGCCTCCAACAGATTTTGCGCACAGCAAACTGTTTTTATTTGTAAGAAACGCCTAGCAAACTGATGACTGTGAGTCTGTGAGTGTGATGGTTAGTAGGCGGGCTCAAAGGATAGTCCAGGTAGTCCGTAGACTACCCTGAAATTTTGCCCAGAACTTATTTTCTACTTCGCATTCATAGCCCAAAACGATGTAATGGCCCAATAGGATAACCCTAGCCCAGCTTGGTTTGCGCCGGCGCTCCATCTTCTGCTCCCTCCCCCACTCGCGCTCGGCACGCAGGCGACGGCGTTGGCGCTCAGGCTCGGGCTCTCAGTGACGGCGGGGCAGTCACAGGCTCGGCGGCGGTGTCAGCGGCTCCCCCTCCCGCCTCTCGCCAGTCGCCTCGCGCCCTCGCCTCCGGTCCTCTGCACACCGGCCGGCGACCCTGCGTGCGCACCTCCCTCTCCCCTCCCGCCTCCGCTGGACCGTCGACGGCGCCCGCCCCCGGCGGCTGCGCTGCGAGCCGCGCGCGGGCGGTGGGAGCCAGCAGCCACTGCTCCACCAAGGCGGTCGCGCCGCTTTGGGAACGCTTATGCCCCAAAGCGAAGCGTTACCCGTCCGCTTAGCGCTTCAGCGCGCTCTTAGTGTTGCTTTTTTGGAACCCTGTTTAGATGTGTGTCATTGATCTAAGCTGCTATTCTTTTGCAGCAACCGTGAATAACTAGTAATTTGGAGTTATGGATTTGCAAGAGAAGACAACCCCCACTCATCAAGGAAAAGAAAAGAAAAAAGGAAGTGCAAAGAAAAAAGAAAGAGGAAAGAAGAGAACATCATCTGTTTTGGATTCTACTAATGGTGAGACATGTCCTAGATAAGTTTAGCACCTCTTTAAAATTGAAATACTGACTTTCGTTTACATCTCCTATACAAATGGCACAGTTCTTTTTTCAATATATAACACTGCTGGAGTTGAAAAGTTGATTATCTCGTGCACTAACTATTTAACTATGAATGAACAGAGTTAAGGGCACCCTTTATTTTCTTGCTCTTTTTACTTAACTGGCTTTTGCATTTTTTTTTTCCTTTGGGAAGTTTCAGGCACAGTCATCAGTGAGGAAATGCCAGAGTATAATCTTGATGAACCTACTATGGAGGAAAAACTAGCAACCCTGAATCTGATCAATAGAGAGAATGGAATGAGTGATAGTGAAAAGCAATCGCTCTCTATGGCACCACCAAGTGCAGATTCAGTCCATATCTTGCTGAAGCAAGCGCTTCGTGCTGATGATAACGTAGCATTGTTAACTTGCTTGTATAATAGAGATGAGAAGGTATTGTTTTCTGTACTAAGTTTGGTGAAAGCATCTTCTCCTTCTGGCTCTTATCCTTTGTTAGTTGTTTTTTTTTCTCAAAGACGCACGAGAGCTGCACATCATTGCATTAAGAAGATAAATATCATTTGTTGGTTGTACTGCCCATCTAATCTGAAATCAACTTCATCCCTGCTATCACTGATGAAAGTTTTGCTCCCTCGAGTAAAAATCTTTGTTGATTTGACATTACATGCTATCAAGCTTATGAAGCTGGACTATCAATATCGTTCAAAGTTCTTAGACTGGACAAGTAAAAAACCATATATGCATTTGTCTCAATAAAACATACTCAGCACTCAAAAGTTTTCTTTGGGAGACAATGTTGATGTCCAAAGCAGCATATGTTTGTGTCTGTAAGTAGGCCTGCACACTCTGTTTGGCATATGCAAGTTTAGGTGATGCTAGTCTCACATGTTTTCCTCTCTTCAGGTCAATAGAATTCTATCATAACTAGAAAAGGAAAACTACAGAACTGCTCTTGATCAATTGTACTTGGCTGAATGGTGAATTGGATGGTTTAACTGAATGTGTTCTAGTCTTAGGTTGATCATATATAGTCATCTTTTCTCTTGCTACTCCCATGTTAATGATTTTATTTCTTGACAAAATTGAAAATAAACAGAATAGGTTGTATGAAAACCGTAGTCAAAATTTGGTAATCCATATATTTACTAAAGTTCAGTAACATTCAGATTGTTCTTGACGAATTGCAGAGAGTTTACTATGTCTTATAATTTACTGCTGGGTTACACAGGTTATCACAAAGTCTATATCACTCCTAACACCAGCAGATGTTGTGAAGCTTCTCAAGTTCTTTGTGTTGCAAATACAATCTAGGTAATATTCTGTGGAGGTGTTTTGTGTCGATTTAATACATAAAGGTTATGTGGTGCATGTAACTGGAGATAATTCATTGAGTATGAGATGGCTCATGTGGGGCTTGCGGGCCATCAACTATGTATTCATGCTTGAACCAGTGACTTCCAATTCTTACAGTAATTAGTCTCTTGTTATTCTTTTCTAATCATTTATTATTATTGTCATGGTTTTTGTGGCTTTCTCCACTCCTTGCCTTGCTGTTGGGGACTGTGGTTTGGAAACTAGTTATATAATTACACATGAATGGCTGCTGAGAGACAACATGATGTTTATGCATATCTGATCTGATTCATATATTTGTGTCCATTGGAATGCATAAGCATGTAAGATGGTGTGTATCCAGATCTTATTTGTATATGTATGTTCATTGTAATTTATAAGCATAGCGTTGACATCCTGATCCCAGTGATTTTTTCTGCTTGTTGAGTTCCTTATTCTGCTGTAATGATGTGTATATTGTCATGATATGTTTAAACATAGTGCGAATTTGTATATTGTCATGATTTGTTTACCTTTTGGGATCAAGGATCCTGGCTACTTCGAAGGATGCTAACGCTGTACATTTCTAAGTTTCAGTGTTACTCTTTAATTGGTTATCGCAATTTGGTACAACCGACTAATTTCTAGACCTTTACCTCCTCAGGGGCGCAGTGTTGGTTTGTTTACTCCCATGGCTGCAAACTTTACTAAATCGACACATGAGCAGCATAGTGTCTCAGGAGTTTTCTCTGTCATTGCTCAACTCGCTCTACCAGGTTAGTAAACCGAAGTAACCCCATTGCTGTGAAGAAGGGAATGTTCAATGCAATATCTGTCTCTAAGAAGTTATATGAAAAAACTCTAATAGAACCCTGCGTGCCAACATTAAATTATGCTTGAAAGGAACACTCATCCTGGTGATCATTTATTGATGATTCATGCTTGTAATCTTACTGCCTGATTTAAAAGTGAAATTGCACTGTATTAGGGTCCGTTTGGATGGTAGATATTGAGGGGGTTGGAATTGAATTGGGTTCAATACCAAAGCAGCCATAGTATTGAAATGGCCACAATTTGAATATTATTGTTCAGATGACCATCGAATTGTTTTTTGGAATCCTAGCAAGTAGCTTAAATCCAATACCTGTTTGGATGCAAAACCATAGAATTGAAACTCTCGACAGCGGCATCCATGGCGTGCAGAGCTCAATCGCGGGGGAGCTCGACGGCGGCGTCCATGGAAAGCAGGGGCAATCTCAACGGCAAGGGGAGCTCGACCCCGGGCATGGCAAGTGAACCTCGGCAGCCACAGCCATGGGGGGCGCTCCACCCCGGCGGCTCGCCAACAGCAGGGGTGAGCGAGCGAGGCCGCCATTGGGAAGCTCGATCCCGGGCATGGCGAGCGAGAGGGAGGGGTCGCCATGGGGGAGCGAGCGAGAGGGAGGGGCCGCCATGGGGGAGAGAGCGAGAGTGATAGGGAAGGGTCGCCATGGGGGAGAGAGCGAGAGTGATCGAGGCTGCCATGGCATGGGTCTAGACGAATGTCGCGTGGGGAAGAAAGGGGAGCGGCCGATTCAGATGAAGAAAATATCTACAACATATGAAGAAAATATCTACGTGAAGAACATTACGTCTAGCTATGCAAATTAGGATCACACCAGCACACATCATAGTACCACATGCTGGAGCATCACACCAACATATATACATCAAAGTACCACCAGACTAGTACCATCAATCACATCCTTTCCAACATGTGGTACTATGATGTGATTGATGGTACTAGTCTGGTGGTACTTGGATGTATATATGTTGGTGTGATGCTCCAGCATGTGGTACTATGATGTTTGCTGGTGTGATCCTAATTTGGATAGCTAGACGTAATCTTCTTCATGTAGATATTTTCTTCATATGTTGCGCAGGTAGACTGAATGCCGCATGGTATTGGAGCCCATTTCCAAAGGCCAATACCAAGATCATCCAAACAATAGAATTAGGGGGTACCAATGCCAATTCCAAATTCTGGGCCTGAATACCAACATCCAAACGGGCTGTTAAGGATATTCTACTCATCACTCCTCCCTGGACATGCTGAGTTTGGTCTGCAACAAGACAATGTAGCCTCAAAAAGTCTATCCTACCAGTTTTTGGGTTCTTGTACAGTTCATATACCATGATAGCAATTTAAGTCATGTTTACTATTGGACACAGATTTTACTGGCTACATTTTTTTCCAGCTTATTGATGCAAGAACATCAACATTCAAGTTGGCATTGCAACTCTCCACCACTCTAGATTACCTTTTCAGCGAGGTAAGTTTCCTTCCCAGCAACGGGTGACCATTTTCGAAATTACAATTAATCCTACTATTATGATCCAGATTGCTGATGATGAAGCTGATGAGGAGGTGCCTCCACCGATAATTTATGAAGACAAGGACACTGATGATGAAGAGTCTGAAGTTGATGCTATGGAAGCCGACAGAGAAGAGACTGAAGAGCTAGGTGATGTTACTGATGCCTCTGAAAATTCAGATGGAAGTGAGATCATGAGCGACTGATTGACTTTTACTCTCCCAAGCACTGCGCATTGGAATATCGATTATCCCCATAAGATGGATTTCACGATGACTGCTGGAGATGGTTGTTCTTGTACTTTGTCGAGCTTAACCGCATCTATTCCGTGCGTCATATTATCTCAGTAGATTTTACCCACCTAAGTGAATGTTTTCAACAAGTTTTTGGATGATATATTGACATTTGATTGAGCGAAGTAACCATTCCCCCTCTTATAATTTGTGCTCCTATGACGGGTAATTGTCTATGTATATGGTGCTTGAGGTCACAATTATTACTCAGAGGCTAATTTCGGGAGTATTGAACTGTTGGGTCGATGGTCGTGCGTTGGCTCCGACCGACCAAACCCTTTTGAAATGATATATCTCCCTTCGTGCGAACGACAGCTGCTGACTTGCAAACTTAAACAAACCTATCCGGCTCTTTGACTTTGAAAGTCGTCTGGCCAACGCCCATCTTACTGTGTTTTTCATTTTTAATGTCTTGCCGATGGCATTTGTTAAGTATTTGACTTAACTTGAACAGCCGCACACACTGAACCACTGGCGTGTGTTCTCAGCAGTGTCAACCATTTTTATACCGTGAAACATGAATAGTGCAGATCATCGACGCTTCATCTTTCTGCTGACACACACACGCACGAGAAACGAGATCAGCTAGTTGTCATACAGACGCAGATCAAAAGGGTTGGGGAAAACATAAATTCAGATTAGAGGTAGTAAGAGAATTGTGGGAGAATCTGACGCGTGCTGATGACTTTCTCCCTTTCTGAATTCTGTTCTTTGATTTGCAGGCAGAAGCGGCCAAAACAAACTTCAGAGCTCCTGATCAAGTACAGCAGCTAGTGCTACAAGTAATGGCCGGTGGCCCGGCTTCACTTGAGAATAAATACTAGTAGTAGTAAGTAAACGAGCTGTTACAAGCTCTTGTTTACAACAAAGGCCTGAACTTGGACATGGTTTCTGAAGCAAGTACATCAAGTGGCTGTAGGATACGACTGTATGTCGCGACCTCCAATGGCGGCAAAACCACTGGTTTTGCTGACCCTAGGTGAAAGGAACAGCGGTTTCGAGCCGACCCAATTTGGACTAATCTAAGCTGACCTCTGTAAATACGGTGACGGTAGGCTTTGTGGAGAAGAGGGACCTTAGGGCACAACAATGTCAAGAGCTAATACGGTGATCAGTGAATGTGTATGTTCCAAGTTCTGGTGTGGGTGTGACCTCCAGACATGGCAGCCACATCTGAATGCAGCGCTGAGACTGGAGTTTGAATCTGTGCAACTACAAGTCTACAAACACCATCTATTCCACCCGGTAGCTCTCTTGTACCGTTTGGAGAGTATAACCAGCCAAAACGATGCCTTTAGGGTATGTTTGGTTTCTAAGATGAGAATGGATGGGAGATGACGGTCCAAGTTTTGATGCTAGATACTAAAAGAGCCTGTCCAATGAAAATTGGTCGGATGAAGCCATCCACCTTTGCTAACCTTACCTTTAGTAACCAACTAATCATCTTGTTGTTATTCCTGTTCGCTTGAACTTATCAGCCGGCTTATCAGCTAGAATCTACAGTATTTTTCTCTCACAACAAATCAGCTTCAGCCGGCTTTAATACCAGCCGAATAGCCAGATAATCATTATTGATTAGAAGCAGTTCTAGTCAATTTTGTTGTTAATTTGTGTTAAATAGAATGAGATTAATGATAAGCCAACAGGTACAGTAACTAGTGCTACAAGTAATGGCCTGTGGCCCGGCTTCACTGGAGAGCAAGTAAGCGAGCTGTTAGTTACAAGCTCTTGTTTACAGCAGTGGCCTGAACTTGGACATGGTTCCTGAAGCAAGTGGTTGTAGGATACGAGCGTCTGTCGCGAGCTCCCATCCCATGGCAGCTAAACCGCTGGTTTTGCCAACCCTGTGTAAAAGGGGCAGCGGTTTGGAATTGGAACCAACCCAATTTGCACTAACCTAAGTTGATCTCTGTGCAAAGCGTCCTGCACGCTGGCTTCACGTTGAAGTGTTTAAGCGATCCAATGCAACAGCACTACAGCAGCATTGGAGATTGGACTACGCTCGTCAGAGCCAGGATTAGGGTATACAAATGTGGCTGCAAATACAGAAATGCTTACCTGAAGTCTGAATGCAACAAGATTTTCTTTTTCTCTTGGCTATAACGTTCTCTTGGCTGCAAATGGAGAGAACGGTATTTTAACCAAAAGTTGTCGCTAAGATATTTGCTGAGACACCTGAACGCCCTTAGTCGCCATGCACAAACCAGCATGTTCAGTTGATAGATTTTTTTGTTATCTATATAATTTGTGCCTAGTAAATTCATGTTAGAGAACACTTTCATTTCAACCATCTAGTCAGTTGTCATTATAGAAAATTGCACCTAATGAGATCTGCCAGGCTTGTGTTCACAATGAGCTGTGCCTCTCAAAATTCAGAATTCAAGAACGAGAGGCAGGTGGGTCATTTTCAACTCAACGCTGCATGTATATGCAAGTACCTTGAAGCTTCTTGCTCCTCACTGTAGTAGTACTATTAAGCTATTACTTAATTGCTGCACAGATTTTCATGGCTCATCTTTTGGCGGTTTAAGTCTGAAACTATGTATATTTTTTGGACTAAAGTTTTCGATTGCTGCTGGAAAACTAAAAGCACCACGGACAAGATGTCATCTTGGTGGTTTATTTACCAATTTGTTAGGAACCTATTCTTTCAATAAAGAGGTTGTTGAGAAAAACTGGATGATCCTTGCTAGTTGAAAGAGAGAGAGTGGACCTGAAAACTGGGAAGTAAGGTATGCTGTACCAGTGGTGCCATTCAGGCCAAACAGTATTATTCAAATGACCAGTGTGAGTTGTTAGTTTTAGTTGAGGCTTCGTTTGAGTTGGCTTAGGGTTCGGTTGGTCTTTGTGTTGAATTGTATGGGGAATTTGTGTGGTTTTTTTATTGGTTTTCACTCAAAAACTGGACCAACACTTTGTTTTATTTTCTATTTCTAATAAAAATTACACAGACACTTTTGCCATCCTTTCAAAAAAAGTTATTCAAATGACTTGGAAAATTTGCAAACTGTAATGCTGTGTTTTTCCAGACGATACCGTGCGGCATTGCAGTCCATGATTGGCATTATATCTTGAGACTATCTCCAACAGAGTACTTATACGAGAGACCTATTTTGAGTGGCAAGAAAGGTACGACCCAAATATGAGCCTCATCTCTTCTAGAAACTCATTTTGCGCAAAGGGTTCTTTTTTAGGTCCTGTTGTTGGAGAAGACCAAAAATGAGTATTAGACCCTTTGCCTGTAACGCTAACCAAACATCAAATGAGTCTTGTATTTTGGGTTCCGTTATTGGAGATAGTAGTAGCGTATATTTGCGCCAACACTCCCCCACCCAACACCCCAAACACACACCGGTTATGTTTGATTATATCTTTAGATTACAGGCATATATTTGCATTTTTTGTTACGTGCATAAGGGTATGTTTGGAACACGGAATCAGTTCGCAGGAAAATGCAGGAACATAATTCTTTTTGTGTTCCAAATAGGCTCTAAAATGTTAAGCACAGAAGGATTCCTCTTCAAATTTATCTTGATTTTAGCATGAATTAAATTCGAAGACCTTACAAGATTGGTCCAACAGCTGTATTAAAGTGAATCTGAATGTGAGACAAAAGGTAGATACCAAAAGACACTTTTTTGTGTGTGTGATCTTCTAATTCTTATAGAGAGCAAATGCACAAGACAACAACTTGCAGCACATACATCCTTGCCATTGTAGGACTTAGGAGAAGAAACCAGCAACACAACACTCAGATGTTAGCAGCTACCTGAGAACTAGCCTATGTACATGAAAGGATCGTCAACCCTACAAGGCTACAACCTAGAAACTGAAGATCAAAAGCAGCAGGAAGAGCACCTAGACTGAGTCAATGGCCAAGAAGAGGAGCAGAGCAGAGCAGCAGCAGGTGAGACGAGATCAGTCATGGTAGCAGAGAAGCATGACGACGCATCGCCGGATGATGTAGAGCCTGGCCTTCTGCTCCCTCAGCACCCTGCTGAGCCCTCCTCCCCTGCGCTTCCCCTGGCTACTGCTCCATGGCTTATTCATCCTGCCCGAACGAACGAACAGAGGCGGGTGTGAGCTGTAAAGAAGCCGGCTGGCTCTGCAGCACCACACCGCTGCTTCTGGATCTGCTTCTGCAATGGCGCGTGGCCAAGTGACAGCATCCCGTAGGGGTTATATAGGAGAGACGACGAATGAAGGCTCACGTCTTCCCAGCGCCTACTTGTGCATATCATAACATCGCACATGACGTTATATATGCCACATCGCATCACATTTCAACAGCACCCATGAAGTCTGAACCTCATCAGCTAAATCATCAATTCATCATGCTATGCTAGTTGCTACGGTTTGAAGACTAACACACTAGATCGTCAGTGAGTTTTCATGCAAATGCAAACAGAAAAAGGTTAGGAACACCTGAATGCAGATGAGCATGTAGTTCATTGTAGGAAACAGTGGTTTATGGCTCACGGGTATCAATTATTGGCTCCCCTGTGTTGAACTATTGCATTAGGCAAGCGAATTGTGGGAGAATCTAACGCTGGTGAGTGGTGCTTTTCTCCCTTTCTGAATTCTGGTCTTTGATTTGCTGGCAGAAGCGGCCAAAACTTCAGAGCTAGCTCCTGATCAAGTATAGCAACTAGTGCTACAAGTAATGGCCTGTGGTCCGGCTTCACTGGAGAGCAAGTAAGCGAGCTGTTAGTTACAAGCTCTTGTTTACAGCAGTGGCCTGAACTTGGACATGGTTCCTGAAGCAAGTGGTTGTAGGATACGAGCGTCTGTCGCGAGCTCCCATCGCATGGCAGCTAAACCGCTGGTTTTGCCAACCCTGTGTAAAAGGAGCAGCGGTTTGGAATTGGAACCAACCCAATTTGCACTAACCTAAGTTGATCTCTGTGCAAAGC